ATATATATATATATATATGTACATAGTTAAAATGTATTGTCTTGTGAGAGAGAGGGTTTTGGATTGGTGACCAGATTTACTGGACTCTCTGATACAGTGCATGACTACCCATTACAGTACACACATCCGCACACGCACGCACACACACACACTCTCACACACACTGGTCTCCACAGTCATGTCTTCGCTGCCATTGCTTGGTAGCAGCGTCCAAAGGGAGATGTTTCCCTTCCTCTGGGTTCTCAAAGTGTTCCCAGCCTCAGCTACTAACTTCTAACAGCAACAGCTCACAACGATTGTACGACAGCAGTCCTCTAACTCACTAACTCACCAACCAACTCACACACTTTCTTCGCTGACTCCTCACTTGTCTTGCTTATAACATGTTGGCATCGACCATGTAGAAAACACCACTCCTCTGCTGCAGTGCAACTGTTGCTGTGGAACTGCTGCATGTGTGTCTGCTATGAAGCCATCACCTAGCAACGGCTGTTGTATAGTCACTTATTCTGCGGTCATTGTGTGGCAATGGGTCTACATGCCACAGCATTTCAAAGGCCAAAATCAGGTCTTCTGACAAATTTTCCAAGACATCATGGACACTGTGTTTTAACTTCAATATATGCTATTTTGAGATATATGGTACACTCACTGCACGAATTAACCACATATATAAAGGTTTACCTCTACTGTGTTCGAGCATTTTGTTGCACCCGTTTAGCGCTTCATACATACACATAATTCAGCCTTTCAAATGCAAAACTTCACTTAATGGCCTTCACATGTTTTGGCCATATGGAGTTATTAGCAGCTAGATATAATTCATTAATTTGTTACACTGTACTGTAATACATCACTGTGCTGAATACATAAAAGTCCGAAGATTTGTTTTCCAACACACACTAGCCACCATAGCATACAACCCAGCAACCCCCCAAAAAATGCAAGAAATATACACATCACTGCCAATGAGACACAGCAATAAAATTAATTTTAAATCATTTAACAAGGATGAGACTTGGTTAAAAAAACACTTTTAGACTTCCATTACTTACATTCAGTGAATTATTACAATACAGTACAGTAATTTAATAAGTCATATAGACCTGATTATGTACACAGAAGGCTAAGACATGTTGTACTATACATATATGGAATACAGATCAAGTGGTGTACACACACACACACACACGCACACATTGTATATATGCACACAGATGTGTATGCACAGTAGGCACCGGTTATTGCAATCATGTTTGTAGGTTGCATTTTGATTCTAAGTACGAGGGGTGTACTGAAAGTCATGAGCAACAATTTTTTGTAAAGTAACATGCTTTATTATTGACAAACCAAATACACCACCACAATCTACAGACCTTTCTTTATTTTTCCACATAATCGCCACTTCTTTGTACACATTTCTCCCAGCGTTCTGGGAGTTTGAAAATTCCCCTTCTGTAAAATTCTGTTCCAGCCATCCGAAGACACTGACACACTGCTTTCTGAATTCCCTCCCTTGTCTCAAAACGTTGCCCACACAGCTGATCCTTCACAAATCTGAAAAGATGGTAGATGGAGGGTGCCAGATCATGACTATAGGAGGGGTGTGGAAGAACTTTCCACCCCATCTTTGCAATTGCTTCCATTGTGAGGCAAGCGGCGTGGGGGGCAAGTGCTGTCATGCACGATGATGATGTTTCGTCCTGGACGTTTATTGCACAATGAACAACGGAGCTTGTGCACCATCTGGACACAATGAGCAGCATTGATGGTTTGGCCAGGTTCCAGGAATTCGGCCAGAATAAACCCCTTTGCATCCCAGAAGACTGTGCCCATCACCTTCGCAGTTGATGGCACTGTCTTTGCCTTTGCCTTCTTTTGTGATGGAGAATGCAAATGGTGCCATTCCATACTCTGCCATTTCGTTTCAGGCTCTAAATGGTGAAACCAGCTTTCGTCACCTGTCACAATACAGAGCAAAAAATCATCGCCTTCGTGTCGTTATCTCTGCAGCATTTCTGGGGTGATGGCTTTTCGCTGACATTCATGGTCTTCGGCCAATAACCGCGCGACTCAACGAGCACGAACTTTCCTACAGCCCAAGCTTTCAATCATCTCCTGTAGTGCACTGTGCCGTATTTCAAGTTTTCGGGCTATTGTGTCCACAGTCACACACCTGTCATCTTGAATGATCTCGTCCATTCTTTCCTTGCTGCATTCAGTTGAGGCTGTTCGAGGACAACCGCTCCGAGGCTCATCTTCAATGCTGGTGTTCCCATCTTTAAAATGTTTCACCCATCTTCGAACACTGCTTGCACCCATGCACACACTTCCATAAGCACACTGAAGTCTCTGATGAAGTTCTGCAGCAGGGATTTCCTCTTTCACAAGAAATTCGACAACAGCACGCTGGCAAAACAACATATCATTGTCGGCCATTTTTAGGAGTGATACTGGTCACGTGATGCAAGCTATTGACATCACAAGACACTCAAGGTTAACACAACAGCTGGTTCCACCTACCACTGTATTCTTTTTCGTCTGCTGTTCCCAGGTTGCATGCAAAAATAGTTGCTCATGACTTTTGGTACGACGTACGTAGATTGGCTTGGTGTAGTAGAATTAAAACCACCAGTCAGAGCTTGACTTGCTGTGGACCAGTTAATACAGGATTTCCATCAATACCTGAACCTGTCAGACACAAGTATCTGATGCTCCTTCTGTCTGGTGAGGATATGCATGTTCAGACTGCCAGCATAATCAACAATCCTACTGCCTAACACAGGACAGGTAAAACCAAGTTTAGCATGAGCTGTAATGTGGGTAAGTTTTATTTGTACTGCTATTTATAAATGAGGAAACTAATCCCACTTTCCCCTTTGGAAAAGAGAACCTCGATAAAAAAAAATTTATATTCTACGCTACGTGGGGACAGGATAGCAAACACAATCTCTGTTCTGTGCAATAGATCAAGATCACATCACTGAGAAACTGGATACAAGAGAAAGTAAACAAACTCAGGAGCAAGACACTCCAGTCCTTGTTATGTGTATTAATCAGAACTTTCAAACTATGGCAATCACAGCGTGTGGTAGTTGTAATGCTTTGTGTGTTTATCAGCTGTATATGCAGGTTCCTTCAGAGAAGCATTCTGTCTACATCATATGAATGCAGCATTTCATACTTCATATTTCATATTTACTTATCTCATTGTCTGAATGGAATGTGTGCTGCAGGTTAGTCACAAACACAAGAAAGGTTTTGAGCAGCCCCTGCAGTGTATGCACTGCATCACAAACACATTATATACTGCAAGTTTATTCAGTGCACATGCACAGAGGTCATGGGGGCCCATGGGGTTATGAGATGTTGAGGTTCCCACATTTTCTAGACAATCAGCTCATAGATGGTGGTAAGGTTGTCAGCCTTACTCACCTGCCACCCTTTACTCCCAAGAATATTCCTGGTACTCATTTCTGTTAGAGGCTGAGTGGACCCCAGGGCCATAGTGCAGCTGGAAGGATTAGGTAAACTGAAAAAAATCCAATGACCTCATCGGGATTCGATCCCATGACCTTCCAGCTTGTAGCATAGTGCCTACACCAACAACGCTCCCGCACACACAAAATCCCTTTGAACAGACAACATTTTTTCATGCCATCTAGTCAACGGAACACTGAGAAAAAGAAACTACGTACCTTCATATCCCCATCTCCACCAATAGCTACACCAATTTCACCCAGATCTTTCAAGAGATTGGTCAACATTTCAGTTATTCGCTTTCGTTGGTGTGTTGACATGTCTTTCAACTGTTGCAGTTCAGATGAAGTGGAGTTCAGATCAGACTGAAAAAAAACAATAATAATATTAATGTAGAAAACACATCAGCACTATCAATTCAAAATCGTACATAGCATTCCACCGTTTCGAAGCATAGTTAATTTGTGAAAAAAACTGTCAAATTTGCAAACTTCAAGTTGTCTTTAAATACAATTTGTCTGACCCAGGTCCTGTAGGCACATGATTTTTTTTTTTGTGAACTTAAATTCTGACTTTCTGTATGAATGGATGGAGATGGACGAATCATTTATATTCCATAACACTATATCAAGAGGAGCAGTCATTCAGCGTCAAACGATGGGAGGATGACTTTGTTCAGTGAACTTAAAAGGACTGAGGACTAAGCAAATGTGGCCTATTTTAACCTATTATTCTGATAATCATCCACAGGTACTGAAGAAAAACACAAAAGAACCTCAGCCTGGAGACTCTGTATCCCAGACAAGATTCAAACTGAATGCAGTGTTTACTTGATAAGACATTTTCCACAGGACCACAGAAAAAACTTCTTAAAGGGGAAAACTTCTGTAAGGCAAACAAAATCAGGTTCAGTTTCTGAACCCATGCAACTGCTACATAATATTTCAGTTCTAAGAAACGCATGATGTTTTCAGGGCAACCTGGAGATACAGTGGCAACACTAGAACTATTTATTTACTTTGGTACTAAAGAAAACTCACAAAACACAGTCATAATCAGCTACCTACAAATTACGTAAAAATAACAAAACTTATAAAACACAAGTCACAATGGGCCACCTGGAAACTGTATAAAAATAACAAACATGGAACTTGTGTTATATTCAGAATTGTTTCCAGTTCCTGTATAATGTTATGTTTATCCTGGAAGTCCTTGCTTTTCGTTTAATTGGAACCACTGAAAATATGATTATTTCACACCTGTTTCTGCATAAGTTCTTCTGTAAGGGTCTCATATTCTTTGTTCTTTGTCTCCACTTCCTGTGATTTCTGATCATAATTGACAGCCAGCTCCTCCAGAGCCTGCAGAACCTCTTTTACTTCCTCCTTGGCACTTTCATTTTCCTGCTGGATCCTGTTCATCTCCTGCTGCAGCAATTCATAGTCTCGCCTTGTTGCTGCAATCAACTGCAACACAATGCGCTATACACATTAATTTCAGGGACCAACACCTACTTTCTGTCCAGAGTAAGTTCCATTTTAATTCCACTGCCTCGCCTATGCCAAGGCCTATCATAAAACATTACTATAATGCTACCTTACCAAAAGTTGTATTAAATTTGTTCTTATTCCATACACAATGCATCTAGCAAAAATCTTTGCTTTGCACTGTCCATCATGTTGCCAGCTTGAGCTACACATTTAGCTAAAAACTGATCCTGTCATGACATCCACATTTCAACATCTGCCAAATGGCATCAGCAGGTGACTTACTAATTGTCTTCACATGGCTAGTCTTATAAACACATTGTAACTAAGTGTGAATTCAACAAATATTACTTCCTACTGTTCGCATCTAGCCAACCTTGACTGGCCTCTTTTAGTTACTCTGACAATAAAACTATGCCAACAGTTTAAATTGTAACAACAAAAAGTTTGTGACAATGGCACATTAGCACAACTACTGACTGTTGGACATTACCAATCACTCTGTTTTTATTTAAACCAGTGTTTCAGGAACTGGACTGTGCCTCTGTCCTTCAGTAAAAAGCCTACTCAGATGGGGCCAGTCAATAGATATAGTCCATCTCTGCAGGATAGAGGCAGAGTCTAGTCTTTGAAAGGTAATTTTAAATAAAAAACAGGACAATGGATTTCATCCAAAAGTGAAGAACTGCACTGGGTGTAAATCTTGTTGTTCTGGAAATGTCTTAAACATATTTTCTGATAGCTTGAGTAATTTAAGTGATTCGGCTTAACATACCTATGAAAATCTGACTGCCTAAAGAAGACAGTGACATACAGTACTAATTACCTCTTCCTGTTCCATCATCTGTTCCTTAAGCTTCTCTGCAAACTGACTCTGCTGGTTGATTTCTTCATCTTTCTCATCCAACTGCTGGTACAGACTTTCACGCTCCTCTTCCAGTTTCTGCCGCTCCTCATTGGACAGAGAGCCCATCATGATGCCACCACCAGGGGTAGCAGGCATTGGCCCAAGTACAACATCCTTCTTAACTTCGGCAGGCTGGGTAACAGGTGTGACAGCTTCCAGAGGTTCCTGGTAAATATGAGGGTGAGTCAAATGAAAACCTTAAATTTGTAATAAAAAATCGAAATTTTGTGCCATTATCCTGTATTGGTAAGTGTGCTATAAACAGCGTGCAGAATGGCCTGTAGGTTGCAGCATAGTGCAGATGCACGAACACAGTCACAGCACCAGTATAAGATGGCTGCCCCACTTGAGACTTGCACCAGGGAAGAACAGCGTTCTGTTATTCGGTTTTTGTGTAGTGAAGGTGTGAAACCTATTGAAATTTATCAAAGAATGAAGTTTCAGTATGGTGATGCATGTTTGTCACAGCAGCAACTGTACGAATGGAGTAGGAAGTCTGCAAATGGTGTGACTTCAGTGGAAGATGCTCCTCGTCCGGGTCAGGCACAATGAGTTGTGACTCCAAAGAACATTGCAGCAGTTGAAGCCATAGTGAGGGAAAACCATCGAGTGACACTGAATGAAAGTGCAGCAAGTTTAAACATTAGTCATGGTTCAGCACACCACATTGTGCACGATGTGCTCCACTTTCACAAAGTGTCTGCAAGATGGGTGCCACAGCAGCTGACTCCTGAATTGAAAGACCAACGTATTGATGCTTGTGAAGACCTTCTGCGTCGCTTTGAACAAGAAGGTGATGACTTCCTTGCAAGAATCGTTACTGGGGACAAAACGTGGGTTCACTTCCACCAACCATAAACGAAGAGAGTGAGCAAGGAATGGCGCCATTCCTCATCTCCAAAACCGAAGAAGTTTCGAACACAACCGTCAGCAGGGAAGGTTATGCTGACTCTCTTTTGGGATGAAAAAGGCGTCATCTTGAAGCACATGCCTAGAGGGACCACTGTCACCAGTGCATCATACTCAGATCTCCTAAAAAATCATCTTTGGCCTGCAATCAAATCAAAGTGGATTGTTGTCCACATGTATCCTTTTGCAACATAACAATGCAAGACCCCATACTGCCCGTACAACAGTTGCGACAATCAATGACCTGCATTTTGAGTGTCTTCCTCATCCGGCATACTCACCAGACCTTGCCCCAAGTGATTTACATATGTTTGGACCACTCAAAGAAGCAATGGGAGGAAAGACGTTCCATTCTGATGAAGAGGTACGCCACGCGGTGCACGAGTGGTTGCGCAGACTACAAAAGAATTTTTTATAAAGGAATTCATGCACTTTGTAAGCGCTGGAGGACTTGCATTGAGCATGGGGGAGATTGTGCTGAAAAGTGATACAGCTTTGTACCACTTGTGCATAATAAATAATACTCAAAAAAATATTTAAGGTTTTCATTTGACTCACCTATATACACATTTGCATTAAGCAAGTGTATATGTAGGGCCGCACCATAGCTCCAGCGGTTAGTTGCTGGTTTCTCACCACGACGGCCCGGCTTCGATCCTGGGTCTGGTCAAGTGGGATTTGTAGTTGACAAAGTGGCGCTGGCGCGGGTTTTCTCCAAGTACTTTGGTTTCCCCTGCCAATCTTCATTCCACCAAATTCTCCATCATCATAATCACCCGGGGCAGGCTACAATAGGCCAATCAGTGGCAGCTGTGCCGAGTAGACCCAGTTGGACTCTGCCCCCCACTATGCCAAGTGTATATGTATGCGTCTGCAGTGACAAAATACAGAGTGTCCCAGGAGGAATGTGCCAAACTTCGGGAGGGTGTTCCTTATGTTAAAGTATGCCGATATAACCCAAAACACCTATGTCCAAAGTTGAACGGTTACGGAGATAATGGCCAGAGAAGTGTCAAA